CCTTTAACTGTCACTGGATGTGATGGTAATTGTGTGTGTGTGTGTCTTGTCAGTTATATGACTCTGTGTATCTGTATGCACCTTTCTTACCGCTTTCGATCTGCTAAGTCTGTTGGTGTTTTGTCATTTTCACTGTATCTGCTGTGTATTGTGTATACGTAGGAGCACAGGCTGCTTAGGTTTAATCTAGAAACTGCAATTTATGAGATATGACCTCAGCTAAGTCATTTAACCTCTCTGGGCCTTTTTCCTATAAAAATGTAAATAATATGAGGGTACCTTCAAAGAGTTCACAGAAATGTGTGTTATGAAACTTTTTTGTACCATAATAAACGTGTCTTTTTTTTTTTTTTTAAGGTTGTATTTATTTATTGGAGAGGTAGAGTTACAGAGAGAGAGACAGAGAGGTCTTCCATCTGTTGGCTCACTTCCTAAATGGCCACAACAGCCAGGTGTGGGCCAGGCTGAAGCCAGGAGCCAGGAACTCCATCCAGGTCTCCACATTGGAGGAAGGGTCTAAGCACTTGGGCCATCAGTCCGCTGCCTTCCCAGGCACACTAGCAGGATTCTGGATGGGAAGGGAGCAGCCGTTACTCAACCAGTGCTCTGATAGAGTGCTGGCATTGCAAGTGGCAACTTAACCCGCTGTACCAGCACTGGCCCCTCCCATATGTTTTTAATTTTCTGGTAGTCAAATTAGAAAAGGTGAAAAGAAGGGCCAGTGCTGTGGTATAGTAGGCTAAGCCTTCGCTTGTGGCACCGGCATCCCATACGGGCTCCAGTTCGAGTCCCAGCTGCTCCACTTCTGATCCTGCTCCCTGCTAACATGCCTGGGAAAGCAGTAGAGAATGGCCTGAGTGCTTGGGCTGCTGCACCCATGTGGGAGACCCGGAGGAAAATCCTGGCTTCAGATCAGCCCCAGCTCTGGCCGTTGCAGCCATTTGGGGAGTGAACCAGAGGATGGAAGACCTTTCTGTCTGTCTCTCCCTCTGCCTGTCTGTAACTCCACCTCTCAAATAAATAAAATCTTAAAAAAAGAAACAGTAAAACTAATTTTAGTATTATATTTTTATTGAACCCCACATTCCAAAGGAAATCAATCTAAAAGATCAATGGGCTGTTTTACGTTCTATTTTTCACATACAGGCTTTAAAGCCTGATGTCTGTTTTACGTTTCCAGCACATCTCTGTTCAGGCTAGCCACATCTCAAGTACTCAGCAGCTGCATGTGGTTGTGTCTGCTGTGTTGGACAGCACGAGAGAGACTACTGTGACACCCTTACCAGCAGCAAGTGTTAGCTGTCATGGTTGTCATTTTATGATCACACATCTGTGAGTTGTGGATATCCATGTCTCCTGTCCCTTATCTGTCAACCTACAAGTGTGCTTTGAAAACTCTGAGGAAAAATGGAGTTAGAAGATAAGTTTATTCAGGTGCAAAACCATTTTGAAATCCATGTGTCCTTTTTTTCATAATGCGTGCTCTCCGTGAGCTTTTTGAAGTCCAGGTGTATGTCTGGAGCCTTAGGGAGAGGCGTGGAGAGCTGTTCCAGGCTCCACATTCCCACCGCCCGTCCTCGAGAAGCTTCCTGGGAAAGCTTCATTGGGAGCACTGGCCCCAGTCTGTATCTTTGCTGAGCACAGCCCCAGGCCTGTTTCTGTGCGTTGCCCCTCCTGCTCCCCTGCAGAAACCAAGCTAACTGCCCCTCACTGCATCCGCCGCAGGTGGCCAGAATGGAGCTGTGGCCAGGGGCATGGACGGTGCTGCTGTTGCTCTTCCTGCTGCTGCTCATCCTGCTGCCCACCCTGTGGTTCTGCAGCCCCAGTGCCAAGTACTTCTTCAAGATGGCCTTCTACAACGGCTGGATCCTCTTCCTGGCCGTGCTTGCCATCCCTGTGTGTGCCGTGCGGGGACGCAACGTCGAGAACATGAAGTGAGGGGCACGGGGTGGTGGGTGACAGGGGGACCTAAGTGTGCGAAGTGAGTGGTGACGTCGCGAGGAGTTGGGGGCGGGCATGAGACCAGGAGAGGCCAAGGACAAGGAAGGGGGAGAGGGCTGCAAAGAGGACCAAAAGGCAGGACGGTGGGGGGAGCTGAGGCGTGCAGGTGGACATCCATGGATCCCACTGGGACCCCTTGCCGTGACCCCACAGGATCTTGCGTCTAATGCTGCTCCACGTCAAATACCTGTACGGGATCCGAGTGGAGGTGCGAGGGGCTCACCACTTCCCTCCCTCGCAGCCCTACGTTGTCGTCTCTAACCACCAGAGCTCCCTCGACCTGCTTGGTGAGACCCCACCACAGGGCACACTCCCCCAGCCATGTTCCCCTCCTGGAGCCACCCCCAGAATGTCCTCAACTTCCCCCTCACTCCCTCCTCGGCCTCCTTTCCCCTTCTAAGAAGGGTACATGGGCCTTTAGTCGCCCTTCCCCTCACTTGGGGCTCCCACCACCAAGCCTCCCCCGCCTTTAGCGTGGGTGAGGACCTGGGTGGGCTGTGCACTGCGACACTGCCTGCACCCTGATCCTCACCCCGCCCCCCACCCCCACCCAAGGGATGATGGAGGTACTGCCTGGCCGCTGCGTGCCCATTGCCAAGCGTGAGCTACTGTGGGCCGGCTCTGCTGGGCTGGCCTGCTGGCTAGCAGGAGTCATCTTCATTGACCGGAAGCGCACAGGGGATGCCATCAGTGTCATGTCTGAGGTCGCCCAGACCCTGCTCACCCAGGACGTGAGTCATCCTGGGGAAACAGGAATTTGGGAGGAGGGAGAGGGATGGGAACAGTTGTAAATAAGCTGATATGCAGGGCCAAGGGCCCACGATGACCTCTCTGCCTGTGTGTTTTCCTTACCTCTCTTTTCCCCCAGGTGAGGGTCTGGGTTTTTCCCGAGGGAACAAGAAATCACAATGGGTCCATGCTGCCCTTCAAACGTGGCGCCTTCCATCTTGCAGTGCAGGCCCAGGTGATGACCGTTCCCCCTGCTGCCACTCCGCCCCCAGTCCCCAGCACTCCTTCCTTTCTGGGACAGGCTCGCGGGTGTCCGAAGGGGGCCACAGACTCATCCTGCTTTACCCCTCCCAGGTTCCCATTGTCCCCATAGTCATGTCCTCCTATCAAGACTTCTACTGCAAGAAGGAGCGCCGCTTCACATCCGGTGAGGACTCAGCACATCCCGGGTGGGGTGTGGCCAGAAGGCCCAGGGGGAGACACCCTGTGGGGGGGGAGGGGTCATGTCACTGAGTGTCAGAGGCTTGAGACGTCCCCAGGGTCTGACATCGGACCCCATGTCAGCCAGGAAGTGTTTATTAAGCCCCCACTGCGCTCTGCTACATGGCAGGTAGGGTAGCACCTGCTCCCTTCAAGAGGGGCTGGTACTATCCAGCAGGAAAGACAGGGCCCATGTGTGCAAAGTTGAAATGAATGATGCCCATGACAAATGCTTGGACCCAGACAGTGGGGGCTGGACGGGTCCAGAGAAGGTGTCTGACAAAGGCATGGGGACGGAGCGGGGGTGGGGGTGGGGGTGGGGGTTGGTGACCAGCGCTGGGGAAGAACACCAAAGGTTGAGGAGAGGGGGAGGAGCAGGACTGCTTGGAAGGTAGCCCCCCTGTGGCCAGAGACATGGGTGGACGGGCCATGATGGTGCTCCCCACCCCGCAGGGCGATGTCAGGTGCGTGTGCTGCCCCCAGTCCCCACAGAAGGGCTGACACCAGATGACGTCCCAGCTCTGGCTGACAGAGTCCGGCACTCCATGCTCACCGTTTTCCGGGAAATCTCCACGGATGGCCGGGGTGGGGGTGACTATCTGAAGAAGCCCGGGGACGTGAGCGAGGCCCGGCTCTGAGCTCCCCTCCCGTTTACCCCGCCTTCCTCCCCACACCTGCCAGCCCAGCCGGCCCTGAAGCTGGGCCCAGCCCTCTTTCTTGTTTCCCCTCTCCCCACGTATTCTCCTCTTTGGAATCTTCAACTTCTGAAGTGAACGTGGATCCAAGGCCACTCCCTGCCTCCTCCCTGCCCACCCATGGACTCTCCTGCCTCCGGGCAGTCTCCACTCCAGCTTCCACTTCCTGCCATCTTGTCTGTGGGACTGTCACCTCCCCCTCATCTCAAGTGGCTCAGCCTACACAGGGGTGGGAACATTCCAGGCCAGCCCAGCCCAGTGGACTGTCTTCCTTTGTGGTCCTCTCTCCCTCTCCACGGCACACTGGCCAGTGGACTCATCCATTCTGTGGAACAAGTCACCTCCCGCCCCGCCCCTAAGTCCGTGGATTCAGTGGACTCATCCATGTGAGGAGGACTCCTCACCTTGTGTCTAGAAGCCGATACCTGGAACACTTCTCCCAGACTCCTCCTGGGAACTCCTCAGCACCTGCACCCTCCCTCCTGGTGGAGCCTCCTGCCAGTAGGGGGTTGGACTCTTCTAACTCAGAGGCCTCATCCCTGCCCTTGCCAGAAGCCCAGGGTTGAGCACACTCCCAAATGCCAGTTTGATCTCCACATTTCTGCTCCCCCCCGTCCCCACGGTACAGTTCTTCAGTGGTCCCGGCCCCCTGTGCCATTCTAACCAGACACAAGCAGGAAGAGGCAGCCATCAGGGGCTGCACGCCTGCTCCTGGGTAGTTGGGCGAAGGAACTGAACCCTGGCTGGAGGGGTAGGAGGGCTTTAATTTATTTCTTTTGAGGTTTCCCCCTCTCGGAGCCAGTTTTCATTTCCTCCCAGTGGCATCGGGCTCGCCCGGCCTCCCACTCCATGTTCCCACCATGGGGGAGGTGGGATGGGAGCAAAAGGAGAGGTTGGGACCCAGTTTTTTGTGGTTGGTTTTTATTCATTATCTGGGTAACAGCAAGAAACTGAGAATAAAGAGAGAGAGAAAGAGATCGGGCATTTTCTTGTGTTTGTTAAGGAGTTGAACAAGCAGTCCTTGCCCAGGCAACCTGCCCCCAGCCAGAAGACTGGGGCCGGCTGCAGGGCGACCTGCACCCCCTCTTCAGCTCCGCTCTGCTGTAGCCTTATCTGCGGCTCCCAGGTGGCCAATGCCAGAGGATTAGTGGGTCCAGTGTCTGTATAAATTAGGGGGCAAGGGTGCTGCGGAGCTCCTTATCAGTGATTGAGGCTTTGGCCCAGGCTGTTGTCTTCACAGGAACCTGGTTAATGACAAGGGGACAGACAACATGGGGGGGGGCTGCCTCCAGCCTGGATGTGCACTGTTGCCACTCTCACCCAGCAGTGTGGCACTGCTATGAAGCCCCCTCCCCCCAGTAGCAGTGAAGTGAGGCTAATCAGGGACGATTAGGGGACCCTGAGCTTGGGGGAGGGGTTTCTAGAAAAGAGGGACTGGGGAGGGGCTCCCGCAGAGCAGGTGCGGAGGGAGGGAGAAGCGCGAGGACTCACAGGCGCCCAGCCTCTCCTCCAGCAGCAGCACCTGGTCGCTGAGAGATTCGATTCTGTCGCCTCGGCCCCACAGCTCTGCCACCTGTTCTGGCTGCAGCTCTTCAGGCGGCACGGGCAGCACCGCCCGAACCCAGGCCCCGGCCTGACTGGCCCACTAGGAACAAGAGACGCCTCGGGGTGTTGGTGATGGGGCCCTCCACGCCGCAGGCTTGGCCCCAAGCGCCTCTGCTCACCTGCTCCAGTCGCTCCAGGCGCCCTCGAAGCTCACGAACCTCACGCCTCAAGGCGCGCTCATCAGGTTCTGCCTCCCGAACTAGGGCAAGGGAGGAGGGGTGACCACCTGCCCGCCCTGGCGCTGGCCCTGAGCCTTCCCCGTGACCTACACTCACCGGCCACGCTGAGGATACTGGCACTAGTTGGGGCTTCCGGGGACCCCTCCGTGCAAGTGCGACCGTCGGGTCCCAGCACCAGACCGTGAGGGCAGCCGCAGGTGAAGCTGCCGGCCGTGTTGTGACAGCGGTGCGAGCAGAGGGAGACGCCGGCCCTGCACTCGTCCACATCTGGTTACCGGAAAGAGCAGAGGGCTGAGCGGGGGACGGGGTCGGGGGCGGGGGCGGGGGCGCGCGCGCCGCTTGCAGGGGTGGTGAACCGACTCACCCACGTGACAGTGCTTCCCTCCCCAGCCGGGGGCGCACTCGCACTGGCCGGGCCGGACGCAGCTGCCTCCGTTCCGGCAAGGCTTGGCGCAGATGGCTGCGGGCCGGGCCGGGGGAGTGGGGATTCAGACCAAGCCGAGCCCTGCTCCCCCGCGCCGCCCGCAGGGCCTGAAAGACCCGGCCTCACCTTCACAGGTGAGCGCCCCCGGGTGCCGCTTCTTCCAGCCCTGGCAGCACGTGGTGTGGGTCTGCGGCACCTCGCGCCTCACCTCCCGCCACGCCACGCGGTACGTGGTCCTGGAACACAGCGCCCGCCTCGGGCTTGCATCGGGGTCTTTGGGGCCCTTCGAGAAAGCCTGGAGCCCCAACTCCCTGGCCCTCACCTGTAGGTGCTGCAGACCTGCCTCCCAGAACACAGGGTCAGGTAGGGTTTGTACACTGGTTGGCTGTAGGATTCGTTGTAGCGGAGCGGGACCATCAGTGTCTGCTTGGCGCAGACCCCCTGACTGCGTCATTGCCGGAGAGACATTGAGTGGGCCGGGGTCTGGGGAGGCAGGAGGCCCACTTCCCTCCTGGGGCCACAGAGGCCCAGCTGCCCCCTGGAGGAGATGCCTCCTGTGAAGCCCCACCCCCAGCAGAGGCTCCCCGCAGGACCTCACCCCGGCCCCATCCCCTGTGTCACCTCGCTTTGAGGGATCCACCCTTGGCCCCCTCGCCTGACAGCAGTCGCAGGAAGAGGAAGAGTCCGCTTAAGAGAGTGCGCAGCTCAGCCCCAGACCCCATGATCCTCTTTGACTTCAGACTTCAAGGGCTGCAGGCAAGAAAAGATTAATGGATGCTCTTCCCTCTGCTGCTCGTCTCCGCCCCACCAAGAGCAGTCTGCCAGCCCTTCTAAGGAAGTGACAGACACTCAGTTCACACCTGGATTGTCTGCACCTGTGTGTACCTTTAACTGGCGCCACCCGTTTAGCATATCATGATCCACCGAGAGCATCCAGGCTCCCAGCCCGACACACTCCAGCACCCCGCAGCCTATCCGCCCCTCATCTGCTCTGCAAAACACGTGGTTATCCTTCCTAACATGCCCTCCTACAATTTCATCTTCATACTTTCAAGACCCAAGATGTACACCTTCGCACCTTACACACAAACCTAAGCACCTGCAGCCGCCACACCTTTAAACCATCCTGCTACCTTCACACACCCACACCATCACATACAACCTGATGCCACACACTCCCGACTTAGTGCTTCCCAACCCCCACCCACCCTAAGACTCTGAGTGACCCCCACTCTTTCCCCATGACATTCTCTCCCCACCTGGCTTCCCCTTTTCTCCAGGGAGACTTCAGGCAGAGCAGTCCCGCAGCAGTAACTCAGACTAGTGGGTGGGCCTGGGCAGGCTGGGAAGGAGAGGAGGGGCTGGGCCAGACAGGGTCCTCCCATTCCTGCCCCCTTCCACAAGCCGCCTCCTCAGCTCCAGCCTGGTCAACGCAATGGGGTCAAGTCTCACTGCCCTCACCCCCACTGCAACAAAAGGCTCCCTGGAAATACCCACCCTCTGAGCCCCCTGCTTCTAGATGCTCAAAGGCAGCACAGCTACTGGCTCTGTAACGCCGCCCCAGCGCGCGCGCGCGTGCACACACACACACACACACACACACACCCCTTCAACCCAGCTCTCTGGGGCAGAATTAGGGGCAGAGAGAGAAGGCGCGCGCGCGAGTGGCTCAGGTCCCAGAAGCAGCAAGATCAGCTGAAGAAAAAAGGGCAAGTTGTCACAGAGGGCAGCAGGGCACCAAGGGGAAAACTGTCCCCATCTCTTGATGACATTTGTTAGGGCTTAGGGACCAGAGTTGAGTCAGTCACCACTCCCCATGCCACAGCAGACAGGGCCCTATTGTCCCAGTCAAAATTCCTTCTTTCAAGGAAAAGGAGGCTCATTGTCCAGCCCCTCACCCAGCTTGGGCCCACAAAGGTCGAAGAGGGGCGCGACGAATGCCCACCCTGACCCTCAGCCCCCTCGTCTAGGCTGGGATGGCGGGCACATTCCACCCATGAGGCTGTTCCACCCATGAGGCTGTGGCCGTGCACACCACTGAAGCCCCGGGCTCAGCCCCCCAATCTGAGGCTGGGACAGGAAGAGAATTGTCTTCAGCAGGAAAGAACCCGCAGAGAATCAGGAACCCACACAGAATGGGCATTGAGAGAGCGGAAACACCAAGGGGGTCCCCGCCCCGCACCAGGCATCCGGGCACCCAGGCCTTGGGCTCTCCATCCCCACCCTGCTTGGAGAGCCAGGTCCCCTTCATGTGGAAATGAGCCAAGCAGCACTGCGGAAATGGAACTTTATTCCCATAAATACAGGAGTAATACCCATTTGAGGGTAGTTAAAAGAGGGGCTGGGGCCTCAAAGAAACTAGGCTCCCAGGGGTACCCCAACACTGATCATAGGGACTGGGGGATCCCCAAACCTGAGATGGGCCTCACAGGCCACAGATATTCCCCAACACTGACACTTCAACAACATAACTGTCCCCATAGGGGAGCCTCAGAACCCCACTCCCATGGGTGGTCTCTCTTGGGGGTGAGGAAGGCTGACGAACAGGGCAGTCCAGAGGAAAAGGGGACATGAGAGGACAGAAGCTAAAAATGTCCTGAGTGGCCTGGAGGGAGGCCCCTGGGGTGGGCAGGGGCTGCGTTCTCCTCCTGTACAGCCAGATCTGGAGCAGCAGCAGCAGCAGTCACAAGTTAAAAACCTGCCTCCCACTTCCCAACCTCAGCTCTGGGAGAAAGGGAGAGCATGGAGCAGCCCCCGACAAGAGGACGTGAGGTAGGGAAGACCAGGACCTGTCATTCACGGGAGAGCAGGGCCGGGGGGCGGGGGGTGGGGGCGGAGGTTCTGGGAGCCCTGGTTGGCAGGGGCAGTGTGGGAGCCGTGAGGTGGCCACAGGCATGCCGGAGCTTGACTGCTTTCCAAGACCACCGCTGGGGCTCTGCGCTGGGGCGGTCCTAGGGACCCAAGAACACCCTCAGGAGAGCCAGGGTTCGATGCAGGTATCGTAGAGGGTGCGGTTGGAGTGCCAGGTTGTATGGGAGATCCCGGCCATCGGACACCTCACTATGGCCCCCCGTGCCAAGAGAGTCTTCAACCCAAAAGAGTCACGCAAATAAACCTTCGAGGCGGTGAAACATAGAAGAAAGATAAAAAGAGGGACAAAGTCAGTTGCTGCTGGTGTCCGGGGCCCCCTCCCCACAGGGTGAACCCTTCAATGCAGTGGTCAGTGACAGGGAGAGCTCTGGAAGGAGGGGGCGCAATGGGTGAAGTGACCCCAGGGAGCTCACCAGTTGTTCTTCCATCTCCAAGACCGTCTCATTTGCATCATAGAATCCAAAAAAGCTACAAAGAGATTTCGGGGGTGGGGAGGAGGTTATCAGGAGAGCTGGAGAAAACCAAGGTGGGCCAAGGTCCTTCAGGAATGCAGGCAGCAGGGGGACACTCAACTGGGCATCGTGTGCCTCGGGACATGGCACACTGAGGACATCATCAGCAAAAATACATAACCCGAATCTGGTCATGAGGAAATTCTACAAAACAGCTGGTCCATATGCTGCAGAAACAGCAATGTCATGGACAAGGACTGAGCAACTATTCCTGATTAAGAGACTAGAGTCTGACAACTGGGGTGAGCATCGTGGCACAGCTGGTTAAGCGGCTACCCACATCCCAATTTGGAGCCGGACTGCCAGTTGGAGCCCCCGCTGCTCCACTACTGATCCAGCTCCCTGCTAATGCACCTAGCAGGCAGCAGAGGAGGGCCCAAGTATTTGAGTCCCTGCCACCCATGTGAGAGACCTGGATGGGGTTCCTGGCTCCTGGCTTCAGCCTGGTCCATCCCTGGCGGTAGCAGCCATTTGGGGGGTGAACCAGTGAATGGAAGGCCCTCCCCTCTGCTTTTCAAAAAAATCTTTAAAAAAGGAGAGAAGGATGATGACTAAATGTTACATGATCCTGAGTTAAATTGTGTATCGGATTTTTTTTTCTTTCTTACAAAGACAATTGAAAAAATCTGAATAAGGTCTATAGATTACGGTCTCTGTTTTAATTTCCTGCTTTTGATAATTGTACTGTGGATGTATTTTTTATATTTTAATGGACATATTTTAAAATGTTCCATGTATGTACATGGATGCACTGAAGTATTTAGAGATAGAGACATCATGTCTGCAAGCTACTTTCAAAGGGAACACATATTTAAATGTTGACTGCATTTTTTTAAGATTTATTTATTTATGTGAAAGAGTCACACAGAGAGAGGAGAGGCAGAGAGAGAAAGAGTGAGAGAGAGAGAGGTCCTCCATCCACTGGTTCATTCCTCAAATGGCTGCAACAGCTGGAGCTGATCCAAAGCCAGGAGCCAGGAGCTTCTTCCAGGTCTCCCAATGCAGGTGCAGGGGCCCAAGGACTTGGGCCATCTTCCACTGCTTCCCAGGCCACAGCAGAGAACCAGATCAGAAGTGGAGCAGCCAGGTCTCAAACCAGCACCCATATGGGATGCCAGCACTGCAGGCGGCGGCCTTACCCATTACACCATAGCACCGGCCCCAACTATAATAAATATAACTAAATATTACCAGATACAAGGAAACATAAAATACATTTAGGGGACCCTGCACTGTGGCACAGAAAGTTAAGCCACCATCTGCAACACAGGCATCCCATATGAGCATCAGTTCCAGTCCTGGCTGCTCCACCTCCAATCCAGCTGCAAGCTAACGTGCCTGCAAAAGCAGTGGAAGATGGCCCAAGTGCTTAGGCCCCTGCACCCATGTGGGAGACCGGGATAGAATTTTAGGCTCCTGGCTTCAGCCTGGGCCAGCCCTGGCCATCGTAGCCCATCTGGGGAGTGAACTAGTAGATGAAAGATCTGTAACTCTGCCTTTCAAATAAGTAAATTTTTAAATATGTATTTATTTACTTAGGGACTTTTGGGAGGCAGAAAAGATGTTAATGTAAACACAGTAAAATGTTAACATTTGAAAATCTAGCTAAAAATACACAAGGGTGCTTTGTACTATTTTGGTAACATTTTTTGGGAAAAAATATTTTTCATTTATTTTGACAGAGTGAAAGAGAGAGAGAGGAGAGAGAGAGAAAGAGAAAGGAGAGAGAGAGAGATATCTTCCATCTGCTGTTTCATTCTCCAAATGCCCACAACAGCCAGGGCTGAGCCATGCCAAAGATAGGAGCCTGGAATCCCATCCGGGTCTTCTATGTGTGTGGCAGGAACTCAAGTACTTGAGCCATCATCCACTGCTTTTCCAGGTCCACTCACAGGAAGCTAAATGGGAAGTGGAGCAGCCAGGACTTGAACAGGCACTCTGGTGTGGAATGCTGGCATCGCAGGCAGTGGCTTAACCCACTGCGCCACAGTGTCACCTGCAGTAACCTCAAGTACAAAGCACTTCAAAATAAAAAAGTCTTAAGATTTTTTAAAATTAAAGAATACTTAACTAGTGCAGGCACTGAGAGAATCCTGACCACAAATAACATAAACGCTAACAGTGCTGAGTCCAGCAGGCTGTGGGAACTAAGGGGATAAGCCACTTCCTAGTTCTAGAGCAGCGGCAAAGGCTTTCTCGCCATCACCCTGGCCCAGGGAAGGCTGTGCTGGGCAAAACGGGATCAGCGAAGCAAAGGCCCAGAGAGGAGGCACAGCGGCATAGTGGAGGGGGTGGGGGCGGGCCTGGGGCCTTGTGGAGGGGCTGGATGGCAGAAAGCGGAGGACAGCAGTAGGGCCACAGGGACCTGGACTGCCGCCCCAGCTCTGCCCTACTCTCTGCAGAGTACATTACATCTGTCGCTTACCCTCCTTGTCTGAGATGAGACGTCTCCTTCAGAGAGAGGAGGTAAAACATTGTGGCTAAGACCCAGACTGCCCGACTTTAGTCTCTAAATGTGCGCAAGTTACTTAATCTCTTTGTGTCCTTTTATGTCCATTGAAGATAACAGGAATTACCGGGCCGGCGCCGCGGCTCACTAGGCTAATCCTCCGCCTAGCGGCGCCGGCACACCGGGTTCTAGTCCCGGTCGGGGCGCCGGATTCTGTCCCGGTTGCCCCTCTTCCAGGCCAGCCCTCTGCTGTGGCCAGGGAGTGCAGTGGAGGATGGCCCAGGTGCTTGGGCCCTGCACCCCATGGGAGACCAGGAAAAGCACCTGGCTCCTGGCTCCTGCCATCGGATCAGCGCGGTGCGCCGGCCGC